CAAACGCCGTGCGCCCAGAGCGCGGGCGGCCAATCCGCGGCACTCCCAGGGCTGGCGCTCATCGTGTGCCACACGCCCGGGGCTGGCTCCGGCACCGCGCATGCGCCACGTGCCCGGGGCCAGGCCAGCCCTGAGCACTTGGCGGGCGCAGAGAAATGCCCCCGCGGGCGCCATGGCGCCCGCGGGCACCGTGTTGGGGACCACGGGTCTAGATAATACTTAGTCCTGAGTGCACAGGACTTAACTAAGTGTCCTCTTAAGGTCCTTTCCAGTCCTATGATTCTAAAAACAACCCATGACCCACTGATGAACACTTTTCACAAAGCAATCACTCCATATCTGGTCTTCGAAGCCTTGTCCTGAAAGGAAATCTGCACATCACCTTCAAAAACAAACTGGGAGCTTAAATTCATAATTCTGCTGGACACTAGAAAACATGGTTTAGCAGGGATAAAAGTTTTATGACTCACTATAACAATTTAACACCTCTACTGCCTCTAATGCAGTGATCCCCCACTTTTTTATACCATGGACCGGCAAACTCATTAAAAAACTGCCAGTGGACTGGAATGGAAATATTTGCATATTCATCACAGTATAAAAGGCATATCAAAGGAGGGGGGACATGATAGTTAATAAGAATTTGAAAAACAATGCACACAAACATTTTAAAAAAAACTAATAAAATAGTTGCTACTACCTGTGAAAAAATTTTCTCTAGTCCAAATCTTTTGCCTCAATTGCAAAATTAAAGGACGGTACCTTAAGTACTTTAAGAATTAAAAAGGCAGTACTTAATGGGTCTAACACATTCTGCACATTCATATTTTCCTATGCACTTAATGTACCCTGGCTGGGAGCAGCTGGAGGCCAGGGGGAGGTTCACACCATGCTATAAGGGAGGAAAATGGGGTTACAGTGGCAGCTGCTCACTACGTGCTGCTGGGGCAGCCACTCTCCACACAGTGCTTGGCCCCAGCCAAGTACCACAGCCGCCCACCACACGGGATGCATAGCAGCCACCAGAATTGCAACCAGGACCACAGTGAGGCTGCCCCAGTAGGGACAGCCTCACTGCAGCCCCAGCTCCAGCTGCAGCACACCTGGCTGCCAGTTGCAGCACTCACTCTGTCGCTGCATGGGGAAATGGGCAGGAAGTGAGTTTGCGTGTGCACAGGCACACACCTTATGGGGAACCCCAGCAGGAGAGGCTAATTAAAAACTAGGAGAATGGCCTGGCAACGTGCCGCAGCCTGGAAGGCAGGGGTTCGCACAGGGGTGGTTAGGAACCACTGCTCTAATGTCCTCTGACTGAAGGAGTCTTAATAGACTATTTCATTTTAAGTGATCTCTTACAGCACATATGAACATTTATAAAGATTGCAGATAATACCGAGCTGGAAGGGGTTGCAAACGCTTTAGAGAATAGGATTATAATTCAAAATGATCTGGATAAACTGGAGAAATGATCTGAAGTAAATAGAATGAAATTCAATGTGTAAAAAATTCCCTTTTGCTTAAGAATTTGTCCGACTTTTTATTTAATGTGGACACTATGGTTACTTTACCTAGACATGAGGAAGAACTTTGTGAAGCTCAAAAGTTTGTCCCTTCCACCAACAGAAGTTGATCCAATAAAAATGGATTACACCATCTGCTTTACATCTTTTTTCTCTCCAATGTTATTCAGTATCATTGATGCATTGCTGGTTGAGGGAAAAGCTTTAAGAAGCATTTGTCAGTGGCATTGAAGTGAACGTAATTTTACTTTAAGACCTCAACTATTATAATGACATTGCCTTGATGGCTCAGTATGGTGAATCACTACAGATGATGGCTGATTTGGTCAGGCAAGAAGCAGCAAAAACTGGTTATATTAACAACTCAGATAAAATTAAGTCCTCAATCATTACCTTTCAAGCTGCCCTCAAACCTGGATTACAATCAGCTAAGAATTAACTTGTATGATGGGAGATGCAACAAGTGACAATTGTCAACTACCTGGAAACCATCAAAGGCAAGGCTTGTGGAGATCTGAAAGATGTATATGGTTGTATAGCAGTAGCTGACACCATGATCTGGGTCCCTCAGCAGCTTTTGTGGAGACTGTAATATCCATCTTATCAGAAAGCTGAAGATTTAATCAGTTATACAATCTTTATGTCATAGCAATAAAATGTGGGTGCTTAGGAAGGCTGAAAAGCAAACTGATGTTTTTTATTCTGATTGTTTTCATCAGCTATTTCACTGTAAGTGGCAGGAGAAAATTAGCAACAGGATATTCATGGCTGAGCTTAGCAGTCACCTCCATCAGCACTGATTTGGTTTTGAAGGCTCTCTTAACTGGACGATCAACAAATTACAAAGTACGTTTACCACATAATGTTGCTACATGGTCAGTGGTCACGTGGTCACTAAAAGCTTTCGTAGCATAAGATCATAAATGACAAACAAATTGGCCTCCTTGATTTGATAGTGATTAACATAATATTTGCAGGCCAGCAAAATGTTCACTTGTTTATTATACTCCTTCCTCCCAATCCATTGTCTGTCTTGTCTATTTAGATTGTAAGCTTTTTGGGGCAGAAACCGTCTCTTAACTCTGTGTTTGTATAGTATAATAACGGAGCTCTGATACAGTTGAGGTCACTAAGCATTTAGTGACAAATAATACACAATAGTTGCAAATCTATTTTGTGTAGAACAAATATAGACATAGGTGTGTAGTACTAAAGAAAAATTGTTCTGAAGCTGGACATAGGATTTAATTTTACAAAAAACTGCTTTCGCACTCACCATTTGATGCTGTGAAATCAATAGCCACTGTGAAATTGATTTGAGTTCTGTCAAATAAGCAAATAGGAATCTTGTTAATAATACCATAGATAGTTGGAAAATATGCAAAAGAGATAATATAACCTTTAATGGATCAATACATGTTATAATGCATTAACTCTATGGTCAAAAGGTAAGACTTCAAAATTCAGGTTAAATCATTATGCATTCTATCATTTATTCCATGTTATTGATTAAGCATGAATTCATGAGGTTACTAGTCTTCCAAACATAATTTTCTCTTATCTGTAAATTGCATTTGTGTAAGAGTCTCCCTTTCCATATGTGGAAGCATTATACAGTTGGGTGGGTTTTCAGTGGTCCCACCTCAGAGAGACCTATCCACCTCACGAAAGCTTTAGTTCAAAATACTTTACCAATTAATTGGATAGCAATAACTTCACATCCTATACGCTGTATATGATACGCCTGGCTTTCATTTATTTTTGTCCCACTCCCCCATACCATCATCTTTTCCCTTCCCCATGCCTTCAAAACCAGGCAAACTAGTTAAAACATGGTATTTTGGGAAAGAATCAACACACCTTTTTGTTAAGGGTAATTATACATAACCAATTATTTGAGAATGTCAATAAGCATGTGAACAAAGGGAGAGCTGGTGAATATGCTATACCTGGACTTTCATAACACCTTTGACAAAGTCTAAGGCCAAAGGCTTCTATACAATGTAAGCTCTCATGGGATACGTGGGAAGGTCCTCTCAGGGATCAGTAATAGTTGAAAGCTGGGTAATGAAAAGTAACAATAAATGGTTAGCTTTGGTCAGTGAAGTAGGGTAGTGTGGTACCCAATGATATGTATGGGACCAATAAATAATCTGGAAAAAGGGATAAAAGTGTAAGGAGGCAAAGTTGGAAGATGATATAAAAATACTCATGATACTTAAATCCAAAGCTGATGGCAGAGAATTAAATTTCACAAAACAGGGTGATGGGACAACAAAATGGCAGATGAAATTCAGTGCTGATCTGAAATGCACATTACAAAATATAAGAATGGCAATAATAGGTCACACCAGAGGTCCATGTAGTCCAGTAGAAGGAGTTACTCTCACCTTGTGCAGTAACCGTGGTTCTTCGAGATGCGTGTCCCCGTGGGTGCTCCCCTCTGGGTGCTGGTGCGTCCTCGCACCGGCGACAGGAGACTTTTCTAGCAGTTTCCACTGCACCACGCATGTGCCGTGGCGCCCCCTTGTGCGGTTGGTGTCTGTTAGGCACGCGCGTGACATGGCCCCTCCGTTCCGTCTCTATTCGTGCTGTTAGAGGATGGGGCTCCAAAGCAGGGGAAGGAGGGAGGGTAGTGGAACACCCACGAGGGGGACACATCTCGAAGAACCACATTACTGCACAAGGTAACTCCTTCTCCTTCGAGTAGCATCCCCATGGGTGCTCCACTCTGGGTGACTACACAGCAGTTGTCGGCCCATGGAGGTGGGTTTGGAGCCCTGTATTTGTTACTGTGGACAGTACTGCTTGTCCCACCACCATGAATGATGCAATGGAAGAAGAAAGAACATAGTGCTGTGCAAATGTATGGTCTGATGATCATGTGGCAGCATTACAAATGTCCTGGAGAGGGACGTTGCTGAGGAAGGCAGTAGTGGAAGACATTGCCCTGGTGGAATGTGCTCTGATGGTTCCAGATAAGTTTTTATCATGGAATGTATAGCATGTATGGATACATGAGGAGATTCACTTCGAGATTCTCTGTGATGAGACTGCTTTTCCTTTGGATTGTTCTGCATAGAACAGAAACAGTCTAGGGGATGTTTGCCAGGCCCTGGTGTGATCAATGTAAAATGCAAGCGCTCTGCAAACGTCGAGAGTGTGCCACGCAGTGTGCAAAGCATCAGCATGCGGTTTAGGAAAAAAGGCAGGTAAGTGTATGGGTTCGTTGATGTGGAAGGTACTTTGGGGGAAAATTTCGGGTGGGGTAGAAGTGTAACTTTGTCCTTGGTAAACATGGTGTACGGGGGCTCAGCCATCGGTGCAGCGAGTTTGCTCACTCTCCTGCTGGAGGTTATTGCAACCAGAAAGGACACTTTCATCGAAAGATGGGACCAGGAGCCAGTCACTAGTGGCTCAAAACAAGGCCCGATTGTTTAAGGTGTAACAGATAGTCATCTCTCCTCTTATGGAAGCTGTTCCATATCCCTAATCATTTTTGTTGCGCGTTTCTGAACCTTTCCAATTCCAAAGTATCTTTTTTTTATATATGAGGGCACACAGAACTCAAGATTTAAACAAAAGCCCAACTATACATACAAAATGATGGGAAATAAGTAAAGTGTACCCACTCAAGAAAGACTTTAGAGTCATCATGGCTAATTCTCTGAAAAAATCTGTTCAGTGAACAGCAGCACTCAAAAATCGAAACAGATGGCTAGTAGCCATTAGAAAAGATACCTAACAAGTCTGAAAATATTATAATACCCCCATATAAATCTATGCATACCTGCTTCTGGAATATTGCATGTAGTTCTGGTTGCCTCATCTCTCAAAGATATTAGAATTTTAAAAAAGTACAGAGAAGGGTGCCAAAAAATGTTTATATGCCAGGTACAACTTAATATGAGGAACACTAAAAAGATGGACTATTCAGCTTAAAAAAAAAAGATGACTGAGAAGGGATGTGATAGGTCTACAAGAAGAAAATGAATGAGAAATTGTTATTTAATCCTTCACATAATGTGAGAACTAAGAATCACCCAATAAAACTAATGGAACGCGGCTTCAAAGCAGAAAAAAGGAAGTATGCCATCACACAACGTAGTGTCAACCTGTGGAATTTGTTGCCAGAAGATGTTGTGAAGGCCAAAAATATAACTGTGTTTGAAAAAGAATTAGATAAGTTCATAAAGGACAGTTCTGTCAAAGGCCATTAATCAAGATGGTGAGGAACAGACCCCATGGTCTAGGTGTCTCTAAATCTCTGCCAGAAGATGAGACTGGACAACAGAGGATGAAATACTTGATAATTATACTGTTCTATAAATTCCCTCTCAGGTTTCTGACATAAGCCACTCTTAGATGACAGGATATTGGGTTAGATGGACCAATGGTCTGACTCAGTGTGGCCATTTTTACATTCTCAATGTCTGGGACAGAGGACACTTTCTTGAGTCCAATGCATTAGGTTTCTGTTAGTGTTACTTTAGCAGCCATCTCATGTTAGAGATGGATGGCCAGAGAAAACATTACCAAGGACCAAGATAATTATAAACACTGAAAATGCTGTTCTCCAAGCTCCACATGCCTGCATTGTGACTTTACATCGCTTCCTATACTCAGATGTTTCACATCTTTATAGTAGATAGCTGAAAACACATGCCCCCAAAGTGATCTCAGGCAGCATCAGAAAAAGAAGCTGCAAACCCCTCAAAAAACAGTTAAACAGCGCAGCAATAGCCACTGGGAGAAAAGTGTAAGGAGACTTTAGGAAAAACAATACCAGAAAAAAAAACCAAACTATGGACAATCCTAATAATTAGCCATATTAAATTTGCTTAAGTATTCCTTGAACAGAAAATGATATGGAAGCTTCTCCTCAATATTCACTTGCACAGCATGATGGAGTCAGTGAAGGAAAGGCTTTCAAAGATAAAAATGAAGTTGTAAACATGCATAACCCTAGTATGAAGGATTATAATGGAGAAGTATGAGCTCCACTGTAGTTAGGGTTCACCAAAAATTTTTCTGTAGCAAGTAAATACAATAAACCATGAATCACATGGCCATAACTGAAACAGTCTCAGAAAACCAACTTCAGAAACTATTTGTTGTGGAAATACCAGAGATTAGCATTTTATAAACAAAGAGAGATGACTAGTTTATTCATTTGCATAACATTACTCACAATGCTTGTATCTGTGCCCTGGAAACAAACTAAAAGTTATGGACATACTTTACAGTGCACTGAGCTTATTTTTCTGCAATTCTTTATATTAAATACTTTTACATAGAATCGAAGAAGGTTTTATTTGAAACTTTAATTTCAATCCAATTTTATTGTTATAGTGAAAGCTTTGTTATCCGGCACTCATTGGAAATGGGGGTTACTGGTTAACTGAATGAGAAGGTAACAAAGCTTATTGCTCTGCCCCTACCCCACATGGGCAGATCCAGCTCCTAGCAACTCAAAGCAGGACAAGATGGAAGGAGGTGCCTGCTGATGATGTCAGATGGCAGTACTGGCTGTCAGAAGCCCTGCAAGACCCAGTTGGACAAATTAAATTTGTGACTGAACTCCTTGAGGGAGAATTGTATGTCTTCTGCTCTGTTTTACTTGATTCTGCCATATATTTAAGAATATAAGAACAGCCATATTAGGATCAGACCAAAGGTCCATCTATCCTGTCTTCTGACAATGGACAATGCCAGATGCCCTAGAGGGAATGATATTATAGCAGTCTCAGATGACGACCCAGCACATGTTCATTTTAAGAATGCATTCATAGCAGATTTGACAAAACTCAAAGAAGGTACTAATGAGAGATTTCTAACGAAAGTGACAACACTCAGTCAAGGTTTAAGAATCTGAAGTGACATACAAATTCTAAGAAGGACAAAGTGTGGAGCATGCTCTCAGAAGTCTTAAGAGAGCAACACATAGTGATAATTACAGAACCTGAAACACCAAAAAGGAAAATCAACCTGTCAGGTGGTATCTGACTCATGATGAAAATGAACATGCATCACTCCACACTGCTTTGGATAATTATCAATAAGAACTAATCATTTACCATCGTCTAGGTCTGGAATACCTAAAAAATTGCCTAAGACTTCCAGGTGAGGCCCATGATTAACAAATCTACTCTTTAGGCATAGGGGAACATGTGCATGTCTGAGATAGACCTTCCTGAGGGCCAGCTTGAGGCTGTGGAATAAACTACCATACAAACTACTGACCATTACTAACCTTACCACCTTCTGTTCCAAGTGGAAGACACAGTTATTCAGCATTGACTTCTCAAACACAAACAAACCATTTAACAAAACAGAACCCTACCAAAAGAAAACATAAAAGAAATACCTAACTACATAAGAAAGTTATCAGTAAGTTTATGAAAAATGAAAAAAGTACAGGCAGTCCCCGACTTACGCGGATCCGACTTATGTCAGATCCGCAGTTACGAATGCAGCTTTTCTCGCCCCGGAGGACACGGACTGCGGGACCTTGCGGTCTCGCCGCCCGTGTACTCCGGGGCGAGAAAAGCTGCTCCATGTCTCCCTGGTCTGCAGACTAGGAAGATGTGGAGCAAAGCCGGGGAGGGTCTCGGGCAGCCGGGCAGCCCAGGCACGCCTGGGCTGTCCTGCCGCCGGCTTCCCCCCAGGCTCTGCACAGCAA